AACCGCTTAGAGAGGCCTGAAAGCCCTATGAAGCGGGATATAAGTCTAACTGCTATTGCTATTGCTATTCAGCTCCCAGCCCGCTGCTTGAACTGAACTGGGTTCCTCCCTGTCCAAATAAAACGCTTCCCTGGGATTTGTTTGCGCCAGAAGCCATGAGCCGCTTTGGGAGCAGGGCTGGGTGCCAATCCCTGCTGGGAGCACTGGGGAAGGGGCGGCAGCAGCTGCAGAACCATGTTCATGAAGGACAGGTGTATATTGCTTAAACTCACCTGCCCTGGTTGATATTAACACTGTTGACTTTGTTGGCACTTATGGCAATTTTAGTCAAAGTTTCAATCACAAAATCACTCTGCAGCACAACATCTCCCTGCAGGGAAAGAAGGACCAAGAAAGAGGTTTTACAATGCTGCTGGTACGGCTAGTTAGGAGTCGGGGAGGGGGCGGGGTGCTCCAAGGCAGGCAGGGGGGGCTCATGTCAAATGGGTGATGCCCCACCCTCCTCTTCCTCCTCATCAAAGGGAATTGCCGTTGCTTAAGTGCCACTCGAGCCCCCACCCACCCCCCAGTCTCTCTGGCGAGACCAGGGCACACCGAGCACAGCTACCTTCTGCTTGTTGTCCTGGCGAAGCACGTGGAGCACAAAGAGATTGTCGCTCAGGCTGCTGACTGAGATGCCTGCAAGAGACAAAGGGGGGCACGTGTGGAAAGCTGGGTGACAAACCTCCTGGCTCTCGGCTGCCTGCCTGCACCCACCCCAGGTCAGGCGGCTTGGACAGGTGAGGACAGGCTGGGCCCCTCTGCCTTGGCTTCCTCCCTCTCTGGACGTGCTGGGGAGCCAACGCCCCTCGACTCCAGCAGAGAGGCAGAGAGGTTCACGGGACGTCAGTCACCAGCTCCTCCGGCAGGTCAGACGGACTCTCATCCTCCAGGAGTTGACCCAGCCAATCTGACAGCAGGGGCTGGCACCCATGGGCCCAAAGTCTCCATCCTGGAGCAGGGCTTGATCCAACCCACATATGCGCTGGCAGCCTTGCTGGCTTCACAGCCTCCCTGTCCCCTTCCCCATTGGCTGAGGTGACCCTTGAGGGGCGTGGCCTGGCACCTGCACCCAATCGGCATTGGGGAGGTCTCTTGGCCATTGACCGGCCTCGCAAGGGAAAGGCTCCTTTTTCAGCTGCTCTTTCCCTTCAGCTCTTTTGCTAGGAGGACTAGGAATTCCGGACTGAGGGTTCCCACCTTATGACAGGCTGGGTGAATTTAATCCTGCACAGCCAAATATAAAACGGGGGATCAATGTAAAGGATCACCGAAGGATCCTCTCCCAGTTAAGCCTGTGGAGTGGGGGGGGGAGGGGAGATAGAGTCAAGGCCAACTGGAAGAAGTTGCAGCCCCTTTCCCAGGCTGTGTTTTGCCCCTGGCTGAGCAGAGGCTTGGTGCCAGGCTCCGGGACACCCCCCACCCCAAGTCCGATCCTACGGAGACAGAAGCCTTTGCACCCGTCCCTGCTTCCTCCTCCTCCTCCTCCTCCTCCTCCTCCTCCCCTCTGATTCCAGCTCAGGCCGGATCCTCGGTTGTCTCGGAGTGAGAGTGCAGGAGTCATGGCCCGAAAGGGTCGCTTCCCCTCCCTACCTGTGAGGTTGCCGTAGTCGATCTGCTGCTTGACTTTGGATTCTTCCACCAGCACAGCAGCGTTCTGGGTGAGCAGCAGCTGCCGGGCACGGGCTTTGTAGCCTTTGCGGTCATACTTAACCACAGGAACGGCGTACTAGAAGGGCGGCAGAGCACAAAATGCCATTTTTCAAGGGAGCCTTAAACTGCCAACAGTGTTTTCCACAAAGTACATAGTTTCTACCCTGAGATAATCAAGAATCTTGGCCACCTGGAAATGTGTTTAGGAAGATGAAGAGCTATAATTAGATCTTCTATGGGCCCAGGAAGCTGGAGCCTCTCTCTAAAGTGCTTCCGTTTTTATAAAGCAGGCGTCCCCAACCCCATTCTGTGAATCGTCGCCACCTGTCTGTGGCATCCCAGCAGCCGGTCTGTGTAAACAAGTGAAGCCGCGTCTGTGGGATGCAGGCAGCGTGAAAAAATGCACCTGCTCCGGTCCACGGAAAACTCTTTCTCTATGGAACCAGTGCCAGTGGCCCAGTGGTGGGTTCCACATCCCGTTGCAACAGGTACGATGCAGTGGGGCCTGGCATCTCCCACGTGCACGCGCACTTGGCTTAGGTATTTAGGTAAAATAATAAAGAGTTAATCCCAACTCAACCACATGTGTAAACATTTTCCTGGTATCAAAATAATGCAAAGTGGATTATATTTTACAGAAAAGCCTTGCAAATCTTTAAGTTGATACAAACTTAATAGGATTGTTTTTTTCTGGACCTTTGGTCTCTCTTGCTTGTCCAAGAAAGTCACGCTAGATACATACTGAAGCCCGGCAGAAACTGTGCTGGCAAAGGCTTTGCAGCATCCTGTCCCCCTCCCCACTGATGAGAGGGAAGGAAAGAGTGGACACTCACCTTAAGCGCCTCATTCCCCAGCACCTGAAGGATTTTGGCATTTATCTCTTCATTACCTGTCATCCCCCACCCAAGGAAAAAAGGGAAAGAAAGAAAAAAGAAGTTAGGAGTGACTTACTAGAAAAGTGACATTTGGCCAGATTAAACAATACTTACCAAGACGAGTATTGAGGAAAAGCCTAGGAACACTTTGGGGGTAATTGTCCTTTTTTCCCTTAAATATCTCACTGGCCACCACTTTCTGCTCCAGCTGCAGGGGGATTAGATAAAGACAAAAGAACCAGGGTTAGGAAAAACTTGGGTAATTCTCAAAAGAGAGATTATAAAAGCCTAGTCCAGCACAATACCACTGAAAAAGAAGAATGAGTTCCCAGAAGAAACCAGCATGGCTACACAAAGAATTATCTGATAAACACAAAGACCAAAAGGATAAGTATAAAAAATGGAAAAGGAGCACATAACTAAGGCAGAATACCAACATATAGTCTGAATCTGGAAATATGAAGACAGGAAATCTAAGGCTCAGAATGAACTTGCAACAAATGTAAAAAAATAATTTTAAAACTGTTTCTTTCAACATGTGAAAAATAAGAAAAACTTTAAGGAAACAATTGGTCCCCCAATGGCAAGGAGGTAACAGTAGTGGGGGAAAGCAGAGCTGTTTAGTTCATTCTTTGCATCTGTCTTTACACAAAAGGCAAAAATAGTCCAACTTTCCAAAAGAAATAGCGTGATAGCCAGACTAGAAATACAAGTCAGAATAGGCAAGAAAAATTGGTAAGAAAACATGTATCCACTCTGGACAAGTTCAAATCACCAGGACCAGATAGGTTATACCCCAGAGCTCTGAAGGATGTGATCATGGAACCACTGAACTATATCTTTCAAAGATCCTGGAGCACTGGGGAACTGCCAGAGGACTGGAAAGGAGCTGATGTGGTTCCCATCTTCAAAAAAAGGGGGGAAATGA